ATCTCAGAAAGGCCTTCCTGGATATTTAGGTAAATCACCCTTCACCCCCTGCCTTTTTTAAGTCTCAGCCTCCTACCTATTTCTGTCTGGAAGAAAATAGCATTTTGTTTGCCTGGTTTGAATATTTCTCCCAGGAATCAAGAATGGAAATTCCATAATAGTAAGAGCCATGTCTGACTGATATATTCTCACCATCTAGCAATCAGTAGCCTCTCAATAAATATGTGCAAATGAAAGAACTCAGGGTCTCATTTAAAACAATTGCACTCACACTACCTGCAAAGCTTTGGTTCCATCACTACTCTGTGCACCTTTCTTTAAATCTCTTATCATACAAGTTGCATTGTTTGCATGCTGTTTTCTCTGAATTTCTGAGAACTGCAAAATCTATGTATCATCTCTCATTATTCTCCAGCTGAAAGGTGAATTGCATATACATGAATTAGACGTAAGGAAACCAGAGGTCCTTACATTACCTAAGAGGATGGGAAAAGATTAATGCTATTCTTTGATAGGTTAATAATGTAAATAATAATTCTTGGGTAATTGGCAAAAGAATTTCAAAAGTGAATTAGGATAAATTCACAAACTAATAGAAGACTAAACAACCCGAGGGAAGATAAAAATGGAGACAAAGGCAACAGAGGTAATAAACAGAAAGCTACTCAGAAGGTGTGAGGTTTATAGTCAAATATGTTAGCAATTATTTTATGTACAAATGCTCATGTCGAGGACAAAGATTTTCACATATTTTTTTCCCACAAAACAAAAATTGAACTATACGTTGTTTACACACAAGAATGCTAATGAGCTAGGAGTAGAGATGCATGGCTATCGGTACTTGGGAGTATAAGGCAAGAGGATTGTTGAGTTTGAGGCTGGCCTGGGCTATAGTGAAGCCCTGTCTCAAAAAACAAAAAAAAAAGTAAGCAAATATCCGTTATACAAAAACTAAGACATCTGGTCTGGTGCAGTGGCTCAAGTGGTAGAGTGTCTGCCTAGCAAGCATGAGGCCCTGAGTTCAAACCCCAGTACCACCAAAAAAACAAAAGACAAAAAACTAAGACATCTGATGTAGCTATCTAATATCAGAAAAGTAGATTTCAAAACATTGTTAAAAGACAGAGAATAGCTCCAATGATTACAAGCTCACTCTGTGAGGAAGATAATACATGTTAACTGTGTAGATGCCAAAATCACATGGCTCTTTAAAAGACAAAGCAAAATTGAACACAACTAAACAAAGAAACTGAAACATCCCCATTGTAGAGGGGATTGTTATCATGGTGCTATTAGAAGAAAAATATACATCCCATGAAATTAAAAAAAAATGACTTGACCTGAATTCTAAGCTCTGATGGCTGCACTGCCAAGACTTAAAGTAACTAAAAACCAAAATACAACACAAATTTCTCCAGATTGTGTTACTCTCATAAAGTGAGTTGGGGATATTTTGGTTTTTACAATCTACAAGAATTTGTACAATACTATAATTTCAAAAAACTGAACAAAACTTTCAAAATAAAACAGTAGTAAATCAAGTCCATCTAACTTTTAAAACAAAAACACATCATAACCAAGTTGGGTTTACTTAAATATTTTGAGGTTTCAATACAAGAAAAATTCACCCCAGCGATAGGCTTCTGCCTAGGTTGCCTTGTACCTAGGCAAGTGTTACACTGCTGGGAGTATAGCAACCGATAGCTGGTTGACATTCTGGGCCTGGTTCAGCTCTGTTGTTAACTATACCAGGATGCCACAGAAGTTGCTTTAAAAAAAAAGTCCACCTGAAAGACAGCATATTTTAATATGCAGAGGTAAAGTTTATTAATAATCACTTTCTTTTATTAAAAAGATACTATTAGCAAATTTTAAACTTAACAGTAAAAACTTAAACTTTTCTTTTGAAGTTATCAAGATTCAATATAGTTCTGAAGGCCATTGGCAGGGAAAAAAAAAGCGATGAGGGAATCAACCTAACACCCACACATCTTACTGTATGTGAAGACTCCAAAGAAATTACTATAACATAAATTCAAGATTGTTGAATAAAACTTTCAAAACAAGTCACTGGATATCAAAAAAAATTTTTTACAGGGCTGGTGGAGTGGCTCAAGTGACAGAGCGCCTGCCTAGCAAGCATGAGGCCCTGAGTTCAAACACACACAAAATACACACACACAAATAATGTTTTCACCATAGCATAAAATATCAAATATCTAGAAAGCAATCTGGCAAAGGATGAGCAAGTCCTCCATGGAGACTTCATACGATTTTAATTAGTAAAGAATACTTGAATCAATAAGAGAAAAGACAGACTATGTTTTTGGAGTACAAGACTCAAAATTGTAAAGTTCAATTTGCCCCAAATTGAATCCACTCCCAAAATTCTAACAAGATGTTTCCCTGAAACTTGACAAACTTGTTCAAATATGCATACCAAAAAAAAAAAAAAAGAAAAGGACAGGACTAGCCAAGACACTCTTGAAATAAAGTAAGGTAGCAGGACTTCTCTTCTATCTAGAAAAACTTGTAAGGCTATGATGATTAAAACAGAATGGTGCTGGGCACAAGAGTAGACATCCCCCAAAACAGACATATACATAAGGGATCTTCTGTAGACTAGGAGCAGTCAAATAAGAATGGAATTTTAAATGTGTTAATAGGACTATCCACATGGAAAATATGAAATATAAAACAACTATACAATATACAAAATCTTATAATTTATAGGTGAAAAGCAAAATAGTAGAACTTCTAGAATATAAGAGAATATATTCACGACCATGGTAAGAACACATTCTTTAAACAAGACACAAAAGGAGAAATCTTAAAAAGAAAGCATGACAGATGTTACTATGTTAAAATGAGTAATTCTATTCATCAAAACACTCCAAGAATTAAAAGGCAAGATAGTGGGAAGATATTTTTATAATACATACAAGTGAAAAAAGACTTATAGCAGAATATATAAATACACAAATCAGTAAGAAAACACCATCAAAATAGGCAAAGGATCTGAACAAGAATCTATAAAGAATAATCAAATGTTCAATAAATGAATGAAAAGGAAAAGGTGTTCAATCTCACAGGCAGCAATGGAAATGCAAATTAAAACCACAATGAGACACTACTGCACACTTGCAGACTAAAAAGTTACACTTCGCTTTGGAATTCTCATTCACTGGTGGAAAAAATGTCATGTGGTACAACTGTTTTAGAAATTAGATTGGCACTTATCTGGTAAAGTTAGTGGAAGTGCTTTACAAGCGGCTTCTAAGATGCCTTGATGACCCGTCTCCTTGTACTTACAGTCTTGTGTAAGTCCTCCTGATGAGAAGCAGACCTAGTGTCTGGCTTCTAATGAACAGATTTTTGTAAAAGTGATGTCACTTCCAAAATTAAATGTAAAAGGCCTTGATTTTCATCTTAGCAGCAGCATCCACACTTGCCCTCAGTCCATTCTCACCAAATGCAGGTGATGCTTTGAACACAAGTCAAATCATGCACTCTGCTGCTCCAAACCATGCGACCCCTTTCCATTTCAGAGAAAACCAAAGTGCTTCATGAGGCCCACTGTGCCCTACCTAGCTTTGCCTGTCTCCTTTCTGGCCTCTTCTCCACTACTTTCCTCCTTGTTCCCTATGTTTGCAACCATGTTAGCCTTCTTGATCTTCCTCCAACACACAGCATTTTGCAAGCGTTCACACAGGATGTTCCCTCCTTTCTAGCAGCCTTTCTGAAACAGGGTTTTACAAATCCCAGGGAGGGATGATTCAGTAGGTCTGGGAGGGGGCTTGAGAATATGCATTTCCAACAAGTCCCCAAAAGATGCTGTGTAATGTATCAAATTTTCTCCTATGCATCTAGAACACGGAGAACTGAAAATAACACCAACACTGTTCTATGTTCTGTAAAACCCCAAGTGAAAACAGGGATCTCCAAGTCTTTGCTCAACGTCAGCTCCTAATGATGTCCACCAGACGATCCTTGTTGTGTGATTTTCCCCCGCCCATCCGTTTTTTCTCAGCTCTACTTACTTGATCTCCTTCCCCCCAGCACTCATGACCTGCCATGCTGTGATTCAGTTGTTTATAGCTTACACTCTTTCTCTTTAGTCTTTACACAAGAATATAAAACCCAAGATGAAGGGTTTGTGTTTTATCCTAAAAGGTAAGCAGACTTTTTTGAATATACACAAAATATTCAAGTTGAAAATGAATTAAATCCTTAGATTTCCTCAGAACATATAAACTGACAATTTTAAAATATACTAACTTAACTACATGTTTATAGGAAGAGAGAAGGGTAGTAGTGAAACAGACTTCTGAATCAAAAAGAACTTGGATTCCAAAGTCAGCTTCACTATTTGCCAGCTGTTTTCCAAAAGCTGATGGCACCTGTCTGGGTGCTTAGTAATACTACTTCCTCTTTCACTTCTTACCTCCTTGCACTCACACTTCATTTTAAATGCAAGTTATTTTTTAAATGATCCTTTTTAGTTCTAGACAGAATTATATACAAAGGCACATTAAAAGATATAAAAAACCTCTAATGACTGTGGCTAAAGTTCTTAAAACCTAACATAAAAACCTTTGCTGAAACTTTCCACGGCACCTTCCAGTGAAGTTCTCCAACACATAAAATATACTGTTAGTACTTTGCTATTTTACTGATACTAAGAAAGTATTTCAAATTCCACCACCATAGAATACTAAAATCCCCACTGACAGGTTCATTCATAAACATGTTTCTGGGCAACAGAGGACTTTAGTTCTAGTGGACTTTCCAAATAAGACCCATATCCTGTTGTGAAACTTCCTATCAGAAGTATTTTAAAGATAAGAGTAATTTTTGCAAATGTGTTTTAAGTCTACCTGTGTATAACATAAATGCCCCGGGTCCAAGAATGTAGCCACCATAACCGTTTCCACAACCGCAGGGAGACATGTCCGTGGTATTCTTACTGTTCGTGCTGCACATTCATGCATGGCCTGATATTGCTGAAATAGAGTCTTTATTTCTGAACATTCCAAAACAGCAGTGTACACAGTAACAAATATTAAGTCATATACCATAAGAAAGCATTCATTAGTGCAAATGGATTTTGTAAAAGGTCTATCAAAAAGATTTATTTGCTTTAAAATGCATTCATTTCCAGAAGCATTGTTAATAAAATGTTACAGTTTCATCCTTTGTAATAAAGTATTGAAAATCAATTGTGGTAGAGTAGCAAACATTGCAGGTTTTGAGTGCAATGAGCTTGTGATGCCATTATAAATATGAAACGCATGTACGATAATAAATTAACAATGAAAAAGACAAGACCTTGAACTCTGCTGTCTGGCTATCTCCTCGTAATGCTTCAGATTACATTGTGCTCATTTAACATAAAATTATGTCTCAAATTGTATGGTATATTTTTGCTGATATATCCCTAGAGCTAAAAAAATAGTACCTTACCACAAAAATATTTTTATGGCACAAATTTTAAGTTGTTCCATAGTGGTTCACATAGGTGTAAAAAGAAAATAGGCACAAAAAATAAAATTCCTGTAAACTATAAAAAAGTAAGATTCAAAGCATGTCATAGAACCCAGTTGGAAATATCCAATGTATTAAAATACAGAACATAATGAAAAGATGGTTAGAACACGTAAGTAAATTGAACAGGTTATTTAAAAAAAACTCATATGGCAAAGCATTATTGATACATCTCAATTCTCTCAAAAAGTGTTCAGGTACAGAGCAGTTCTACAAAAACTTCCTAGATCTAAGTGTCACAATACTGCAACCATGGGTCTGAGAATGTTGCAGTACCTCAGGTAAATATTTAAGTGCAATAATTAGTCTCTGGTGATTGGTCCACTGAAAAACAATGCAGTAAAGTTAAAATGCAAAAGGGAAAGAATATCCCAGCATCCACTGTTACCCAGCCAGCTAGGTAACACAACCCTCATTTTCACTTCTTTCCCATTCTTCAAGGGTACATAGAACTGCATCAGTAGCAACCATCTCTCCAATTTCCATCCCTCAGCGTGCTGAGTGAAGACAGAGGTTTTGGAGGCTGCAGGAAACTATAACGAGATGAAAAGGGGAAACCGAAGTTAGTGATCCCATGAGCCACATCTCTCATTCTGGTCTCCTCACCCACTAGTAATGACAAGCTATTGGCACTGCCCCAAGTTACCTCAAGGTTCACATTTCTAGGCCTTCACAGTACATGCTCATTTGCTGGAGCCCCAGGCCACAGCTTGGTGCTATGTATGTTGCACATGCATAAACTTGCCACATAATGTATAAAAAATACTTTTAAAAATTTTAGTTTAGACAGAAAAAGATAAGCTCCTCAATGGAAAAATGGCTAGAAACATACATGATGACTTCATTGAATATAAATGCCAAATAAACATGTAGAAATTTTAAACCTTACTAGTAATCAAAGATTTGGCTATCATTTTGGCAAAGAATTTTAAAAGAATGATAATGCCCATTGTTTGTTTAAGCTTGGGGAAACGTTGCTGGGCATCTGTGGCTCACAATTATAATCTTAGCTACTTGGGAGGCTAAGACGGGAAGGATCACAATTTGAGGCCTGCCCAGGCAGACAGCTCGCAAGACCCCACCTCCAAATTAACCAGAACAAAATGATCTGGAGGTGTGGCTCAAGTGGCAGAACACCTGCTTTGCAAGTGCGAAGCCCTATGTTCAAATGCCAGTTCCACAAAAAAAAAAAAAAAAAAAAGTTTTGGGAAACAGACCCTCTCCTATAGACTGGCAGTAGCGACCTTTCCTTCTTGGAGATAAGCATGTATCCGTGTGCAGGGTCACAGGAATGGAGACACTGCGAATGTATTATAACCATGTGATTCTAAGGCAGCCACAAACACAACATAGCTCTGCATTAACTAAGGAGAGTGAGCCAGAACTTATTGAACAAACACATAACCACACAATTTCTATCTGGATAGTAACATTATGGGTCAGCCTTTATATACTCTTCTGTTTTTCAATAGTTTCTGAATCTGCTTTTGATCTGAACAACTATTATTCCTACTTAGAAAATAAAAAGCAAAACTATATATAAATGCATAATGAAAAAAATTACTTGTTCCTACTTCCCTTTCAATCTTTTGCTATGGTTTCTAACCTCCTAACCTATCTTCCTTCATATCTTAATTTCTTGTAAAAGTTATCTATATTTACTCTATTTTCTCATCAATCTCTCCTCCACTCACTTTTTTAAGGATTGTTTTTGTGCTATGAGTCACTCAGGATATCCAGTTCAAGAAGGGTATGTCATAACTAAGAGCTTGTCTACAATATTTCTTGTAAGAAACTTAACATTTGAAGAGAAAAAAAAAACTACACAGTCCATATTGAACTTATCAACATAAGCTGATAAAGCCCTGCTGAGTCTCACTAAGACGTTTTTTTAAACCATGGGGCAGGGGTGCATGAGTACATTTTCCCATATTTTGATTAAAAAAAAAAAAACAATTGATCCAACACTTGCTTGAGATCCTACACTGTGCTGGGCATAGATCCGGCGTTGAGGATACAAAGCAGTGAGCCAAAGAACCAATTACCCTCTGCCCACAGAGCTTGCAATATTTTTTAGAGCTATCACTGTGAGCAAAGACCTGAAAGAGGCCAGAAGCAAGCCACAAAAATAACTTGGGGGGCGTGAGGGGACCTCAAAATCTCTGATGGAGCTTACCTAGTAAATTCAATCAAAAGCAAACTTTGTCAAAAGTGAAATGATGAGGGCGTGAAGGAAGAAGATGAGATCAGAGAGAAAGTGAGTTACCCACACAGGGACACCCTTCACCTTCCCAAGAAAGGAGGACACAAGTTGGACCATAAAGGAGAGTGACCTACTAAGGTTAACTGAGTCAAAGGACAGTGAGGTTAGTTCCTGGAGCAGCTTTGAATGTCAAACTGCAGATAAAGGTATGTAAACAAACCAAGGCTCCCACCTTCTGACAGGCTGTGCAATTTTGCTCCGAGGCAGGTTACCGCCATTTATTGCCAAGGAAGGTCTTGGAAGTGCACTGCGGCCCATGATCCCGGAAGCTGCAGCTTTGTTCGGGGTGGGGATTCCTGTGCTGGAATATAACTGCATGCCGTTGGATAAAGGCATATTACTGCTGCCTTGAACAGTTGGACTCACATAGGCTGTGGCTTTAAGGGGTTGCCGGACAGACACTGGGAAGTGTCCCATGCTGTGGACTCTGTGTTGAATCTGTCCTGGTGATGGAACTAGAAGAGAAAATGATATTCATGTGAATATCACACAACTCCAGAAAAGTCTGATATTCAAAGGAGCCTATGTTGTCTGAAAGGAGGAGATAAGTAATACAAGTTCCAGGCACCATTCAGTTGGAAAAAATTCCTTGACATGAGCCTCCTATCAATCAGCAACACTGTGGAGTATCTAACTACAGTGACCCTTGAACAATAGGGAGGTCAGGAGGAACCAATCTCTGCACAGTCAAAAATTCAGCTATAACTGTGACTACCCCAAAACTGCATTATATACCTAATGAAAATACTTGAAAACAATGAGAGATCACATTCTACTGTGATCTGCAATTTCCTGGAGAGGACTTGCCCAGATGGATGATCAGCATCACAGGGAGCTAAGCAGATACTTACAACATTCAAGCTCACCAGCAGCAACAGGAAGTGGCTTCAAAATGATCATGGCACATAGCAGCTAATATTAAGTAATACGACCACAGTAATATTTACAGTTATGAATTAATTCTGCATATTTATATGTTTACATTTCTCTCACCTATGATTGGGGCCATATATGGTCTATGTGTGCATAAACTTTGATAAATTTAACCTTTTTATAGTAGACTTGCATATATTTTATTACAGCAAATCATCTATCTCTATTTTATGCATTAATGACATATCTTTTTCTTAGTGTTTTAATATTCTAGGCTACAAGATTCGTAAGTTTTTTCAAAACTGTCACAAATTAAGAAAAAAATCACATATATATAAATCTGTGTAGTTCAAATCTGTACTGTTCAAGGGTCAACTACAAATTTAGAGGCTAGTTCTAAATACAGCCTTCTTTCCTTTAATGAATTGAATAGTCTGAATTCTTATAAGACAAACACTACTTGCTCAGTGCTATTAGGATTTCTTGATGGTTGTTCTGCAAACAGTTTAATGAAAACAAAACAAGGAGACAATTTAAACACTGTAATTACAGAAAGAAGAGAAAGGTGATGTCTGTAGGTATAAATAACTTATTACAAGCATATTTTTAAATAACATTCATTATGACACTTATCTCATACAGTTACTTCAAAAATTAAACCAATTAATTTACTTAAAGCCATAGAATTGTGCCTGGCACTGTGTAGTACTCAATTCAACAAGTATTATTACCTTTATTAACAGCAGCAAAACCTGCAAAATGAAGGAATTTTTCTAGGTAACAAACCTTACAAACGTTATCAACTTACTGGCTCAATGTTGTACATCACTTCACCTTAAAAAGCAATAAACTATTAGGCAGAAATGTTTACATTTTGTAATCTTTTTATTCAAGGAAAAAAAAATAATAAAATAACTTCTACTTGGGCACACAATTCTGCCTGTATGCAAAAAAAATTTTTTAAGTCCATTAATTTTTACAAGTTCAATATGTGAATTTGGCTCAATATCTTCTGAAGCATAACATAGATAAGGCACATAAATCTTAAGTCCACAGGCTCAATGAATTTTCAAAGTGAACACGTGGTAATAACCAGTCCTCCTCTCAAGAAGCCCCCTCCCAGGTACTACACCCCCCAGAGGCAACTTATTTCCACTTTTATCATCACGGACTTCTATCCCTATTCTGAATTTCATATAATTAGTACTGTAGAGCTGCTTCTTCTTGGGTCTAGCTTCTTTCAGTCAAAATTATGTCTCAGAGATACTATTAATCCATAGTGTTCCACTGTAAGAATGTCACAATCAATGTATTCTCCTCAGGATGGAAAGCTGGGTTTTATGAACATTCTTGAACATATTTTGCTAATCATATGCATTTATTACATTGGGTAATACTAAATTCTACAATTATTAGGATGAATGAATTTAGCAAAGTTGCTAAATCTGACATCAAAATATATAAAGATCAACTGTATTCTAAACTCCAGAAAACTAGGAGGAACTAAAATTTGAGAAAATGCTATTTATAAAAATATAAATACTCAGAAATAAATTTGACTACAGATAGATGAAACCTGTACAAAGACACCTTTACCTATTGCTGAGTCACGTTAAAGAAGACTTGAATCAATGAAGGACTGACAGTTTCCCCTTAATCGAGAGACCTTAGTGTTGAGTCTCCCAAAATTAATCTATAGCTTCAATAAAAATTCCAATTTCATTTGAAATAAAATTACAGAACAGAACAGTTTTCAGAAATGAAGTACTACTAGTCCTTTTATCCTTTCTACAAGATAGATAATTGCTTGGTTAAAATTTAAAAGCTGAGTAAGGGAATCTAGTTAAAATCAGCATAATCTCAATTTTATAAGTGAGAAATCAAGAATTATAAAGACTATAACTTGTCCAAGAGTTTATAATTCAGAAAATACCCAAACTCAGGTCTCTTACTATAACACTGTTCTTTCCATACCATGTTGCCTTTCCAACTGTCTCTACCTGACTTTTGGTCTTTCTGGAAAATGAAATGGTCAAGAACTAGGAATCTTAATGATAGAAACCCAATATGCATACATAAAGGAGAGTGACTCAGAATGTTCAGGAACATTCAGAACATACTCAGAACAGAACCTCAACACTCAAAAGCAAAAGGTATGACTGACCTTCACTAAACAGTAACACTTCTTGGGGGCTTTTCCTCAGTATTATGTTTGACTTATAAACTTTTTCCCTATTTTCTTTTCTTTTCTTTTGCATATACTAACTGGAATTCTAGTGTAACAAATTTTCCTTCCTTCCTACATAACAAAATTTCTTTTCTTCCTTCCTGCATAATGAATTTTCTTTCCTTCCTTCCAGTGTAACAAATTTTCCTTCCTTCCTTCCATCCTCCCTCCCTCCTTCCAGCATAACAAATTTTCCCTCCTTCCTTCTGTCATAACAAATTTCCCCTCCTTTCCTTCCTCCTTTCCTCCCTCTACGCATGGATATTCACATTACTCTACCAGGTATAATCTTTTATTGTAATTATTTAGTCTGTGGTTCAAATTGTCTCAGATTTGGCCATTGATGTTTCTTCAAACTGTTTCCTATATCCTTTTTATATGTTCCCATGTCTAGCACTTCAAAACTAGACATTCTTGGTCATATACATTTGATCCTATTTTGGGTTACATATGGTTTTCTGGCACCCAAATATTCAATAAACCAACATTAAGTTGGAGTCAACAAAAATTCCAAATCAGTACCATATTTGCTATTATCAAAACCATATTTCTCCCACCCTATACTGACACTGTTGCTTTTTATAATCAAAACACAAAATTGTGTATTTCTCTTAAATTTCTTCATGCTATATTTGGTCTGTTTTTCTAAGCTACTGGCATAAAATTACTCCTCTCAGTTTCATGCCCTTAGCAAATTCATAGTCTGTGTCATTACATGTCATTAATTAACAGGTCAAGCCCTAGAATTCAGCTCCATGGCGTGCATGCATATTCATTTGTTCATTCACTCAAGCGTTCACCAGGAGTTATGTTTAGGCAACATGCCAGGCACTGGAACAGAAAAATCAAATAAACTAGGATTTGAGCAAAGAGAGGAATTATAATCTGGCAAAGAAGACAAACATTGACAATTAAGTGTGGAACAGGATGAGTACCCCTTATTCCAAATGCTTTGAACCAGATGTTTTGGATTTGGGAATATCTGTATATACATAATGACATATCTTGGGTGCTATGGTTTGATTATGAAATGCCCCCCAAAGATCCATGCGGTGAAGCCTTGGTACTATAATTTAATTTAATTTTGGTTTTGTGATGATACTGGGGCTAGGGCAGGCATTCTACCACCTGTGCCACTCTGCCAGCTCTGGGTGTGCTACTTTGAGAGGTGCTAGAAACTTTAGGAAGTACAGCCTAGCTGGAGCAAGTAGGTCACTAGAAGTGTGCCCTGAAAAGATATGCCTTGTCACTGGCTCCTTCCTATTTCTTCTCTACTTCCTGGCCACCATGAGGTACACAGCCTCCTCCATGTGTTCCCACCACCATATTTTGCCCCACTTCAGGCCCAAAGCAATGGAGCCAGTGATCCATGGACTGAAATCTCTGAAACTGTTAACCAAAATAAACCCTTCCTCCTTTTAAATTGTTTCTCGCAGGTGTTTGTACAGTGATGAAAATTCTGGGGATAAACCCAAGTCCAAACACAAAATTCACTTTTATTTCAAATTCATTTTGTTTCACACATATAGCCTGAAGTTTTTAATAATTTTGCGTATGAAACAAAGTTTCATGGTACAGAATTTTCTACTCGTGCTCTCGTACCAGTGTTCAAAGTTTGAGCTCTTGGAGCATTTTGAAGTTTGGATATTTGGATTAGCAATGCTCAACCTGTACATTAAATAATGGAGGCAAGAACCAGAAATCTACCCCATTCAAGACTTGTTTTGGAGTTTTTAGGAGAGTATTAGGGCCAATAAAGAACTAAAGACTTTAAAAAAAGAATATAGTGTTAAGGGTGCATTCTGTAGGTAAATAGAAGTAAACTAGATGAAGAAAGGTAGTGAAGAACTCCAGGCAGAGAACAGCAAAGGGAGTCAGAACGTCAATAGTGGTTAAAAGCATAAGTTCCAGGGACAATCAGACCTGTCTTGGAGCCTCTGCTCTTACTCCTGCCAGACCTGGGGAAAACTGCTACTTAACCTATCTAAAACTGTTTCCTCATCTGTAAAACTGAAATGCTAAAACTATCTCACAGAGTCACTGGTAGTACTAAAGACAGTAATACACATAAATCAGTTAGCTCAATTCCTTGTACAGAGTAAATGCTGTCATTTTCTTTTTGGGAACTAAGACATAAAGAAATGTAAAGACCACCACATATAAGGAAATATACTAGGAACCCAAAACTGGTGTGAGGAAGAGGCGGTTAAATATCACTTTGGATACAGACAGACAGCTGGGTGATGACTCTTGGCCAGTACACTCTGCACACACTTCAAGCCTCCCAAGTTTGGGTGTATGAACATTGGTATTACAACCTATCTTCCTCCCAGCATCAGTGTAAGATGATCAGTGTAACCACAACACATGTAGGAATAGGGAGTATAAATCTGGAACAACCATATCCCCCATATTCCCACAAAAACTGAAAACACACAGCACACTGGGTTTAATGCTTAGCACATTGCTCAGTGCTAGGTAAAATGAACAGGACCAGATAAACCATGGATTACGTGGTACACCAAATGGAGTGGACAAAAACTACACACCAGCATCAATCTCATGATCCTCCTCCCTCAACCTCCCAAGTGCTGGAATATGAGGAATGCGCTACCACATCTGGTGACAAAACTTCAGACACTAAAATATAACTTCCTTTTGGGAGAAAAATGCTATGGAATGGTGAAAACCTGCTTCTCCTGACTATAGGTGTGGATAACTGCTAGAAAGAAGAGAATCTGCAAAGAAAAAATATTTTTATATGATTAGTGGATAAGTTAATGACCATTGAGTATATCTGTTATCCTAAGACATAAGAGTCTACATATAATTTACTATTGTCATTAGTTGGTATCACAGGCACTGATTGGTAATTATAGGCATTATTTGATTACAGAGGGGAAATAACAAACAGTAAGTTCTAAGACAAGGAGAAAACTTTCCATTAGTGTGCTTAAGTAAAACAGAAGAAATGGAAAAGATATTTTCCTAGTGATATTACAACTAATTTTAAAAAGCTAGGTGCTGGTGGCTCATACCTATAATCCTAGCTACTTGGGAAGCAAAGATTAGGAAGATCGTGGTTCAAAAGCCAGCCCTATCTTGAAAATATCCAACACAAAACAGGGCTGGTAGAGTGGCTCAAGTGGTAGAGTGCCTGCCTAGCAAACATGAGGTCCTGAGTTCAAACCCCAGTGTGTATGTGTGTGTGTGTGTGTTTGTGTGTGTATAAACATTAAAAAAAAATTTTACTTACTACAAGATTGTATTCTTGAAATTCCACTTCCAGCCCCATGCAGGCTGGAGTCAAAACTCTGACTGTTCCGCACGGTGACTGGAGAACTAATGTTGCTGCTGACCGCAGTTGTACTAGGCGTCCGAGCTAGGTTAGGCATACTTCTTCGGAGCTTATCTGAAAGAGAAAAGAATTTTATTAAGTTAAAAACCACAAATTTCATGTCGATTCAAATACTTCCTTTCAACAGTAAATAAATTAGGGCTAGTGGAATGCCTCATATAGTAAAGAAACTGCCTACCATGTGTGAGATCCTGAGTTCAAATCCCAGTACCTAAATAAATTAAAACCCTGTTTTGCTCAGGAATAATTAAAGGCACCATGAGCACCATGAACAAAGACAGAGAATTAACCATCTCTAGCCTGGAGAATTCCACTCAACAGACTGTTGCTAAAAGAAAACAAATGTTCTATAAAAAGAGATAGGGCCTAGCTAATCAATTAGCTGTTTGCTCCTACTCAGTAAGTGAACAGAACTGTATCAAATAAGGTTAGAAAATAATTGTACAGTCATTTAATTTTAAAAAAGCTAGAATAAAGTTACTTGTTTTAAAAATCTAGGAGAATCAAAACTACTGAATTTATTACTAACATACCAAGATGGAATTAATAAAATTCCAACTGACATGTCTTAATATATCCAGTCATTACATCAACATGACCACATTAACATCTGGAAAGTTTTAACTCTTATTAGTATGCCAACAAATGTTTGCACACTTGCAAAAAAGACCAAGAAATGCTTCCATTTCTTTTCCCTTGTTAAACCTATCTTTTGCCACCAAGAGGCAGCAGAGAGTCATATACAGATCTCACTGAGGCCAAGATATGAAACTGGCAATAAGACAAATGCTACAGGACAATTGTTTATTAATTACCACACCCCCTCCCCAATTAAAGAGCATATATATCAGGTTACTCAAGCTCAGAAAATAAATGGTATATTTGAATACTAAGCCTAAACCTGTTCAAGCCCCAAACTAAATCCATTACTTTCTCCCCTTCACAATTTATTCTACATTACTTAAAGTCACAAGTTTCCCCAAATTCACCTGCCTTCCTCACCCAGGAATTCAAATTCTGTCTAATATTTAGTGAATTTTCCACCACCACTAAGTTAAGTTCTCATTATTTATCACCCACATTTTCACAAAATCCTCTTATGTTCCCCACAATCCATCCTCTGAAGCCAATTCCACTCTTCCTAACACCAGCACACACTTGGTCACCTTCTGGCTTAAATCCTTCCAACTCTAATTCCCCTCTTTCACCTCCACCAAAAAGCCCAAGCTCCTGAATATAGTTATTAAGGCCTTCAAGGTATAAACTCTACAAAAACCATTAGCCATATTTCCTGCTACCAAATACAGGGGCATGCTCTCTTGTACAGTAAGCACGATGGTCTCTCCACTTGGGCACCTTTCCTCACTCTGTGGAAGGCATAAACAAACAAGGGAAGAAATATTTATGGCATGTATCTTCTTTCTAGGCACTCTCTAAGATGTTGGCGGTACCACAGCACATACAACAGGTATAGTCCTCACCACTCACAGAGTTTGTAGTTTATACCAGTTTTTCTCAAGTTTTTCTTTCCATTATCAATCTTAATGAGAAAAACTAAAATAAATTTAAATTTAGTTTCTCCCTAATGAGAGAAATTAAATATTAGAGAACAACATTTTGAAAGGTAGAGTTGAACTTTTAGAGGATATCAACCATTGTAATCCACCCCTTAGCTTTTTAACTTCCATCAACTCTACACACGATTTTTATCTTTATTAATATATGCCTCATTACACTAAAGGGTACATGTCAGGACATTCAACCTTGTGGTCATTTTCTTTCATGCTAAATCAGAGCACAACACATTTGAATACAAATGTTCCTCCTTACTCACTACTTCCTCTACATTATTTATACCTATTAACTACACCTCTGTTCTGCAATTTTTCCATTAGGGAATAGATAGAAAATTAAATAAGCACAACAAACATATACAAAAAGTATAAAAGGAAAGTACAATAAGAAATTTTGGAGAGTACTATGATAGAAGCGCAGGCAAGTATTTTACCCAACTTGCTAGGTTTTGCAGAAACTTGAAGAACTAACACAATTATTCCCTCCTCAGAGGAGTTTGTCTAACACTTCCTTGCTGAGGTATCTGCCACTCACTTATTTCCTAACTGTGCATATTTCTAGAATAGGAATAATCCAATACCGCCACTGACTACTGTGTTCCTTATTTTATCATTACAGTAATTTTCCCTTATTCTCTAGGGATCCCTCTTCCAAGGTCCTAGCAGATGTCTGAAAGCACAGATAGTATAAAAACCTACATACTACATTTTTCTATATGAGTACACCTATGATAAAGTTTAGATTATAAATTATGCACAGGAAGGATTAATAATTTATGAAAACTTATAAAAGTTCTTTAAAAACTTAAGAATTATTTCTGAGATTTTTTTTCCATTAGTAGTATCTACCCACAGTCGACAGTGGGTAACTGTCGACTACAGACAGCAAAACTTCAGTTAAGGGGACTACTACATCTCCTTGAAGCTTTTCTTCCTCCCCATCACCACCCCCCGGGCTGTGGTACTGAGAACCAAACTCAGGACCTCACACATACTAGCAAGCACTCTACCCACTGTGCTATATCCCCAGCCCTCCTCCAGGCTACTTTTAACAATCATGTATCTTGTTTCCCCAAATTCCTATTAAAGTCCCTAGTCCCATGCAGCAGACACTTAATATACTGTAATACATAATGTAGGCAGTGTATACAGTAGAAGTGAGGAATTAAAAGAGAAGGAATATAGTCTTAGAGCTACATCTAGAGCTTCCAAACATCACAAACACTGTTGTGAAAAAGAGCCTCAATTACTTCCAATACATAATTTTTAGGCAGCAGAGAGACAAAGGAAAATCACTGTATGCTATTAATTAGAGAAGGAATTCCACTTCGATGTTTTAAAAAATTCTCTCCAACTATCTACAATGAAAGTTTTTAAATACACAGAAATATGTGAAATAATACCATGAACACCCACATATTTCCTTTTTAGGTCTACCAACTTAATTTTGCTGTATTTAATCCACTTTCAAGGGCTGGAGGCATGGCTCAAATGGTAGAGGACGTGCCTAGCAAGCATGAAGCTCTAAATTCTAACTCTGGTACCACAAAGGAGGGGGAGAAGCAGAGAAAGAGAGAGAATGACTTCACCTTCACATATACATTTGTTTGCTTTAGTTAAACAATATAAAAGTTGTAGACATCTTGACACTTTAGCCCTAAATTGCTGAGTTTTCTAAGACTAAGAAAATTTCACAGGATCACAATACTTTCATCACATAGGCAAATTAACATCATAACCCATACACAAAATTTCCCAAACATCAAGATTGTCTTGCATTAAGTTTTTCCCACTAAACCACAAATCCAGTCAAGGTTTATACATTGCTTATGTCTCTAATCTCTATTAATTCAAATGCATCAGTTTTGAAAAACAATCTTACTCATATTTAAGTACCAGGTCAACTTCACAAAGCTTTAATCATAAAATATGCTTCTAAAAATAAAGCCTTCCAAGTATAAATATTTAGGACTCTATGGCTCTGGGAGCTAATCTGTGATCTCCAAGTTGTGTCATACCATCTGGAAGTCAGATTCACTTCCCTGTCAAACAATTTAGAAATTAATAACCACACATACACTTTAAAGCTCAAGGAACACAAAGCAATGTCCCAATTCTATCTTCCTAAGAAATCACCAATTTCAGATTCGAGGACTGAGATGCAGCAGAAAACTGGAAGAACAGACTAAGGAAATTAAATGAATTCACTCAGGTTCAAAAGGCAGTGAATCTCAGCACTCTGTGGGTCAAAGATGGAATAAAGAAGAGACGTGGCTATCCAACAAGCAGCTATCTTCCCCTGCCAGTCACCACAGGGCACAGGGGAGACCCTCATGCTACAAATGGCTGCATGTTACTGAAAACCCTCACTGTACCTGAAAAGGTACAGAAAGGCTGGCAAAGAATCTGCAAGATTTAGTTATTTTTGATATCTGACAAACTATTTGCTGTCTGACTTTTAATTCTATGATACCCAGAAATATGCCAATAATGTTTATTAGCTATCTAATTTTATTAGCTAGGCAGTACAGGAGCTATGGAAACGATAAATATAAACATGTATTTCTAACTTAGTTGCAAAGATTTTAAATGGATGGGAGTGCTAATGATTATTTTCACCTGTTTATATTATTTTGACAATTTATAAAACACTGGGTAGATTAATTTCAAAGCTACCATTCTTATGTCACAATTTAGTTCAAATAATATTCAGGGGTAGCAAATAAAGGATCAGATATCTGAGCCACATGCTTCACGTTTAAAAAGGACAGGAGACAAATTTTATTCGGCACATCCACTCTAGGCAATGTACCATTCATTATTTAATTTATTCCTTACAGCATATTTAGGTTAGGAGAATATATACCAGATGGTTGATATGAAATTACAGTTAAGTTTCATAAGAGATAGATATTATCTTGTCCACATTTTAGATCTAAGGAAACCAAAGCTTAGAGTCTTGAGAAACCTCAACATGGAAGGCTAACTGCAAGACAAGACTAGAACTCAGGATCTGTTGGACATCAGAACCTGTGCCCCCAACCAGAAAGATAATTAGTCAGAAGTCCTAACCTTAAAATTGTCTTTGTTTTCCATCTTCCTTTGTATGGAGAAACCAGACAATCTCAGAAAAATAAAACTCCCATACATAGACCCTTACTGTAGTATGTCTCAACTTTCCTGCAAGGAGTATTACAGCAGCACAGGTTTCAGGGAAACATAATCCTTTCCAAAACAGTATTTCATAAAAGCAGGTATCACTTTTCTCAGGTGCCACCAACAATGGTGTAAAGGAAAACAATTCCAATGACAATACTAATCAAGATGCAGAGCTAGCACCTGCTTGACAGCCGGACAGCAGTGTTCAAAAACACTTGATGGGAAAATCTTCCAAGAAACATCTTTGGCTGCCCATCTCTCAATTCCAACATGGTGCTATGTGACATCCAGTCAGCACCAACAATGCAGCACCATCTTTCTGGCACTATGAGCTTTAATATATTAATCACTAAGACATCCTTTAGCTAACTAACATGCTTTAAATTTGCAATCTGAAGGCACTGAACTAACAGCAAAGTTATGAACACAGTATTTTAAATACTTTCAAATGAACTTTAAATTCACAGGAATGATACAAGTACAGATTAAGCAAAGGTAAAAACTAAAAATGTGGTTAACGGTTGATCCCTAACATAATTTGTATTTAGTCCAACAGTATTTCTAAATGCCATTTGACCACTTCTAGGCCTAACTTTAAGAAATGGTTTGATATAATAATTAAAGGCTATAACTATATAAATATGAATACTTTTAAGTGGTTTTTTTCTCCACATTATATGGGATTTGCTTGGGAGGGTCTGACAGATCACTGAAAACATGCTTAAAATATTACATGATTCTCTCCCTGTATTTCTTGCAAGTCAAGAAGTCTACCTCCTGGGACTGGACAGGAAGATAAATGAGGAAGACAAAAAAATATGAAAGAATGACATGCTCCAACTCACTATGTTGCCGTTTAGGACACCTCAACTTCCTATTACCATGCCAAACATCAGCCCCATAATCCAACTGCTACAAAGATCTTAGTTCTTGATGTCAGCAAATCAGAAAGACACATCCCAAACTTTCCTTAATTCAGGACATGCAAGGGAAGTATCCTCTCTAAGCATTTTTGTTCATGCCTGCCACCACTCTGAGCTAGGCACAGGCAGCAAGAGGCTGACAGTTGTGTGAAAGATAAGGAATGACGCACCTCAGAGCCTGTGACTGCATGGGGCATGACACTGCCCATCCTAAAGCTGTACGACCAACAACATAAAGACACTCCACACCTGTAATTCTTCCAAGCCAGTTACATCATGGCAGTTTCCTGGAAGTTATAAATCTGTAAACCTGGTATACATAACCAGAAGATGGTTAATTTCAGATGTAAGTTTAAACCAAATTGGTAAGTTCTTGACAATGAACTTAATACATCTAGAGAACCTTTACCAATTATTTATACTGACCTTAAACCGAAACCTACCTGCATTGGTCCTATTTGGTTGCTGGTCTGGAGTTTGGGCTTGAGGAGAATAATACTGTTGCTGCTGGTAATTATTTGAAGGAGAATACTGGGAACTGGGGCTCCTCCTACAATCCCGGATGCTGGAGAAAGTCTGTGAGTGAGGGATTCCTCTTTGGAAAGGTGAACATCTTGGAAGACGAGGCTGGGGTGGCGGCAAATGATCAAACTCTTCCTCATCCTCCAGACTGTATCGATCGTATTCTTGATCACTACATGTCCCTTTTTTTCCTGAACTCAATGATACACTGGAACTATGTCTCGAGACAGATGCTGAAGTAGAAGCATAATCTTGCCTGAGACCTAGAAAATAAATAGAATTAGGAGATATTTTTGACCTAGCTAACATTGAATTATAATCAAATATTTGACAAAAATTTGTTCCAATAAATTATTCAAACAGAGAGTCATCATCTTTTTAGTTCATTAAATCCCTCAAAAAGCAAACACATTTAGCTACCAAACAGATATATAATATTAGACAATTCAGTGTTGGAAAAGAACTGCCCCCCATTCCAGCGAAAATTAAATATACTTATGAATTTCCCCTATTCAACTCTGGAGATATTTAGGAAGATGGAGTATAGGAACACATAGACGACATAGTTTCCTATGAATTACGAGAATTAAAATAATCAAATCTCTGCCTAAATAAGAAGTCGGTCTGCTCCCTTCATCCAACTTTCAAAAGTCAAAAGGAAAGTTTGTTTGAGATACAAATATTTGCTAACAAGGTCAACCCTCTTTTATTCCTTTCTGTTACTAATATTACTTTTCAAAGCATACTGATGTTTTTATACTTAAATAGTTTTAGGTCATTGTAAATGGCAACATCCAGAAACAGTCAAACTGAAAGTTTCTCATTATTTAACTCACTGCCCATACTGAAAAAAAAATAAAAGGGTCAGGCACAAAGGTTCACGCCTGTAATCCTAAACTACTCAGGAGGCAGACATCAGGAGTATCCAGTTCAAGGCCAACCTGGGCAAAAAGTTCACAAGACCCTACCTCAAAAATAACTAACACAAACACAGTTGGTGGAGTGGCTCAAGTGGCAGACACCTGGTTCACACTCACAAAGCCCTGAGTTAAATTTCCCAGTACTGCATAAATAAATAAGCAGTAGCCTATTACTGACTACTTCTCCACTCAAAATGCACCTTATTAAATCCTGTATAAGCATAACATTTCATAGTAGCTTTGATTCATTCTGAAAGCAGAATATTGGAATGCTGTTGCCCTAAAAAGATACCCCAAAGAAGAGTTCAGTTCTGTGATCTACACCTTATTTAATATTGATATTCTATGTGGGCACATTAATTCCTTTGAGTAGCGCACACCCAGATTATTTGTAATTTTATTGCAGAACTAATGATAAACTGCCCCATTTCCAATTATCTACTCCTCCACAGTTATTTACTCTGAGGTGTATCAATGCATTTTTGTTTGGTTTCATTTTTGAGACAGGATCTCACTATGTAGCCCAGGCTACCCTCAAACTCATGATCCTCCTTCCTCTGGACTCCTTTGTGCTGGGATTACAGGCATGCACCACCATGCCTGGCTCAATGTATTTTTAATTCAGTTTTCCTAAAGATAACTCTGGTTCCACATGCAGTGCTAGGTAGTACTATGCACCTGGTTTCCCTCAATGATAAGATTCTGCAAAATTATTGAATAGCACAATAACTAGGGTGTTGACAGCCATATAAAATCCATCCATTTTATTCAGATTTTTCCAGTTTATTCGTGTATATACATGTTAGTATTAAGTTCTTTATTTTATTACCCATATATTTGCAAATGCTCTACATCAAAATAATGAACAGTTCCAATACCACAGAAACCCTTTTCATAACCACATCTACTTCCCTCTCCTTCCACCCCTAATCCCCAGCCATTTGTCCTCCATTCCTAAAATCTTGCCATTTCAAAACACTTAAATAACGGAATTATATAGCAGTCACTCAGAATGATTCCCTGGAGCTCCATCCAAGGTGCTGTATCAATGGTTTGTGGGGTTTTTTGTTTTGTTTTGTTTTGTTTGTTTTGTGGTACTGAGGTTTGAATTTAGGGCCTACACCTTGAGCCACTCCACCAGCCCTTTTTTTTTTTGTGAAGAGTTTTTTCTCGATAGAGTTTCCCAGACTTTTTGCCCCAGTCTGGCTTTGTACTGTGATCCTCCTGACCTCTGCTTCCTGAATGGCTAGGATTACAGTGAGCCATTGGCCCCCAGCTGCTTTTTATTGTTAATACTTTGTGGCATACCACATTTTTTTTAGGTTGATTTTCTTTTATTTTATTGTTATGCTGGGTGCAGCACATGTGGCATTTACAAAAGTTCTTACAATATATCAAATATATATCACAATTTATTTAACTATCTGCTTACTAAGGACATCTAAACTAATTTCAGCTTGGGGCTATTGCAAATAAAGCTACAAAGAACATTCATGTACCAGTTTTTGTGTAAACACAAATTTCAACTGCTCCCAGATAAATACTCAAGAGTGCATACAATGTCCAAAATACCAATGTTTTATGATCAGAGTGCCTAGAATCTTATGATGCTCTTAAGCATATGATAAACATCAACCCCTCCACCTACAAAGCAGAAGGACACAGGAGAAATAAGCAACTCGCCCACTACCTGGGGCAATGTGCCTGAACCTCCCCATCTCTTAAGTGGCAAGTGGAGACCTCACTTTCCTAGTTTCAAAGGACTTACTTTCTTCTTGCAGACGAGCCATGATCTGCACGTCAGTGAGGTCCTGTAATTTATACCCCATGGAGATAGAATCATCCTCCAACTCTGAAGTACTCAGCTCACTGTCAACAGATGACTGCGGACTGAGAGGGGAGCCCCTGGAGGCGTAACCTAAACCACAAAGAACGCATGCTTACTGTTAATTAAATAATATTTAGTTTAAAGAACTGATATTGGTATATAACTTACAATTCATATGAGCAATACTCTTGTCGTTATAATGTCACAAAAATGACCAACACATCATTTTATTGTCAAACAAGAAACACATCTTCACATACTCGTAACTTGTATGTACAGAAACATCTGTTTACTATTTTTTCAAATTCAAGTTTCAAAAATTTTAAAATCACTCTACTATCTATAAAATGTTTGTTTAAAGGATATACTTCATGTTCCGTGGATTTTTGCTTTTGCTTTTTCCTTGTGGTGCTGGGGATCAAACGCAGGGATTCGTGCATGCTGGGCAAGCGTTGTACTGCTGAACCACACCCCAAGACTTGTTATGTGTTTTATTACACACAAAAAAATTGCTAATGCTAATATCTAATGGCATGGTCTGAAAGTGTATATTCATCAAAATGGAATCACACCAATTCTGAAACAAATAAGGTAATGGTGAGACCATCATCTTATGGGAAGAAAGAAAAAAGCCACTACAACTATTCCTTCTACAGAGCCCTATCTTTAAAAAATGGTATAAAGGCTTGTGATCTTCAATGATTTTAAAAAAAAAAAAAAAATCTACTACCCAAATTGTGCTTGACGTTGAATCAAAGCACATTAGGCACTTGGAAACACACAACTACACATGTGTGCGTTTGCTAAAGAGGGAAGGCAGTCTATCACACACAGCTGAGAGCAAGCTGTGTATCAATGGTGCTAGTGTGCATTTAATGCTAGACCTTTTTGTACCCAATATGTTGCACCATAAACACTTCATTATAATAAGATTACCCTCAACCTTCAGCAGAAGGTAGATATTGTGCTTAGTGACTGAATTGCAAAGCAAGCAGGTAGTCAAGAAGTTGAAATATTACCTGTTCTTTCAGGTGTTAGTATTGCTTTGTTTGAGGTTTTAGAGAAGCTGGGAGTATTAATGCCATTGCTATAAGGGCTGAGTCTTGCAACAGGACTATAAGGAAAAGCCAGGGAGGCAGTTGAAGAGAAGAGACTCCGCCATCGGCTAGCTGTCACAGAAGCAGAAAACAGCAGTGGTTAGCTATATGGAAGCAGATTTGTCAGGAGGAGAAAGTGGGGGAAAAAAAAAAAAAATATATATATATTCTTTTTTTTTTTAGAGAAAAGAAATGGAAGAAAAAAAAGGATAAAAGCAACTTTTCATAAGAATATCTTAGCCAACTTTCATTTATCTAAGGGAAAAATTGGCAATGTGTAATGTAGGGCCCCATTTACACAACCACTAAGAAAAAGCACTTGAAGACAATATGCATGCATGCAAATGGAACTTTAAGTTTCTACATCAGAAATGTTTTCCATTTCTAAATAAAGAAGTCTTTAGAAACTGGAAAATGTTTTCAATATTAACCATTTACAGTCCTAAATTTCTTCAGTCAGTTTTCAATATATTTAATATCAGAAAAGATTGCCCACAAAATCTTTTATGATCCAAATATAAGTGTAAGTATTATTACAAATACATATATAAGCAGAACATGTTTCCACAAGTGGAATTGTTAGAGGAGACTAAGGGAGGAGGAAAACAATGCTAAATGAATAATACTGAAATATATCACATCTGTGTAGGAACAAGACACAACAAAATGCACTAAGAACTGTTAACAATACAGGGTAGGGGAAAAGACAAGGAAGAGTATGGACGGGGAGCTGACTGACTATAAAGTACAAAATATTTATAGGTAAAATACCAAGGCAAAACCCCACTGGCCAATGAACACATGCTTAAACAAGGAAAAACAGGTTATGTTAAGGGGAGGGAAATAGCGGTAAGGGAAGACAAATGAAGAGGGTAAAGGAGGGTGAACATGACTGAGGTACTTTCTACACATGCATGAAAATGGAACACTGAAACCTGGCAAAGTCATTTCAAGAAGGGGAATGGGAGATGAGGGAGATTAATGGAGGTGATGAACCAAACTAGGATATTATATATGTATATACATAAATGTCACATGAAACCCTCTGTATAACTATCACACACTAATAAAAATGTTTAAAAAAAAAAGAAACTACACATATGTACTTTAGTGTTGTTGGTTAGCAATATAAAGTGATAGAGGAAAGAAAATGAGGTTGGTTGTGTTGGTAGAGACCAGAAGGGTTATGCAAACCATGCTAAGGAGCTTTTGTCTTTAATGCAAAGTCATGGAACAAACTAAAGCAAGAAAGTTACAACAAAACATGTCTCTTAGATAAACATAATCTCAGTTTTCAATTTCTACTGGTAGGATTTAATGACATACTATCCAAAAAGGGAAAAGTTAACAAATTTTGGTATTAAGCCTACTTAGTTCTTTTAAATAGAATGATACTGGAATGGGGCCCGCTGATGACTTTGATAGTCTACATATAAGTTAGGGATGCAAATTTAGTGGACTGAATCTGTTCTGTTGGATGTAGATTTATGTATTAAATACTTTGATTGTGTAATACTTTATGTAAATACTAAAGGCCAGGAGTGTGGTTCTACCTATGGCTTTGTTTAGCCAGGAACAAAACAAATTCAGTTCACATGGATCTTGAACACCTGACACTAGTAATCATACATAAACTTTCTGTTAATCTACAAATCTCTGATCTGATCCCTCTGTGGTTCAGTTCTTGTGGCTGATTTAATTATTAACTGTTTTTGGATGACTATGTAATGAATTTAATATAATAATATATAACTTATCTACCTACAGAATGGTTAAGCAAGTTGCCCTTAAGTATTGGTCTAGATTTTGTCAGGTGGTATATTAATTATAAGGGAAGTTATATTTATGATTAAAATAAATAGAAGGCTTAATTTCCTTGAAAAAAAATTTTTGGTAGCACTGCAGTTTGAATTCAGGGACTCACACTTGCTAGGTCAGTGGTCTTACCACTAGAGCCATTACCCCAGTCCATTTTTTGTGCTGGGTTTTTTCAAGAACTATTTATCCAGAGCTAGCTTTGAACAGTGATCATCCTGATTTCTGCCTCCTGAGTAGCCACCGGCACCCAGTGAAAAAAATCTTTTATGGAAACTTGCACTTAGGTTATAGCAGACCTATTTAAAAGGGCCTGAGTCCAAAACAAGGTTTACGGGAAAATGGTCTACAAACTAGCACATGTATTTTTACACCAAAATGTAATAACGGCTGTTTTAGATCACTATTAGTGATCTCTTGGATTTTTTTTCAATACTTTACAACTTTTCTGCAGAGAACACATTATATGTGTGACTATTTAAAGTAGGATTATACACATTAACCCTTGAGTACTATTTTGATATGGAGTTAAAGTAACAAATGAACTGTACTTAAAATGAGCAAACGATCTAATTCTCACATTTCCTAACCTGACCTAATTGGTTTATTTACCACATCCAAAATTATCACTTCTTTGTTAACCCTTAGTTCTTTGATCATGAAAAAGACCCCCAAAGTCATAAAAATTTGAGTAAATCAAACCAAACATCATGTGCTGACTCTTCATAGGATATATTGCGGTAGTTAAAAATCTACTTTTCATGAAAAACATTTAGACATGTACTAAGCAGGACAGCAAATAGACAAAAAATATAAATTAGGTTAAAGTTTACTTTTAAGCTGAATAATATGGTTTATATTTGCTGAAAATTTGACAAAACTGGAAGGAACAAGCATAAAAATGCTTTGAAATGTATTCCCCAAACCCCTCTAATGAACCATGCTAACTACTTCTCAGCACCTGGGCAGCTGAGAAGTGCTTAAAAATGAGAAGTGGGATGGGAAGAGCCAATGAGAAATCAGTTCCAAAAGTGGGATTGTTACGATCCTTGTAAGAGTCCATCAAGGTTACTTAAAAACCTCTTCCTTTTGTAGGGAAAGAAGTAGGCAGAGAAACTATTCACAATGATAATGCTTTTGGCATCTGCAGTCCATGGGGGGTGGGGCTGCCCAAACCTAGTTCCCAACCGACACAGTCCTGTATGTCCCTTTCCTCCTGTAACATACTGCATTTCAGCAGCAATTTCCACTCTGGGCCAGCACAGACATGCACTTCCAGTTCCTTCACTTCTAAAGCAACAACTTGACCCCGAAGTATACTGCAAAATAGGGGCTAATGTGCAGCACACACTAGGTAGCTGTTCTCACCTCTTCAAACCATTTATTGGAAGTCTCTCATTAAAAATTCTATATTAAATAAAAGGTCAGTAGTTCTTTGTGACCACTAACTTGCTTAACAGATGACATTTTATACCAGTTTGATCACTTGCCAGCCAAATTACAGTGACTGTGTGTTCTCATCCACAGATGCTGGGTACAACACATCACGAGTAAACAGCCTTCATTATTCTATACAGAATCTACTGTAACCCAGGCTCCCTGCACAATGGCACGGTTATTGTGGCTGTGACAGCAAGATCCCAACTAAGAACACAATTAACATCTATTGCAAGAAAGAATGTTCTACATTGTTCTTTGGCATTGGGGCTTTAAAGAAGAGGGGGGAGAATTATTGTAGAGGCAAACTCACAGAACAATGATGCTCTATTTACACCCAAACACATAGTAGAAGAGAAGGGAGAAAAGGAGCGGAAAGGATCACATCCTCCTTATTCTTCACAATGTGAATCAAGAGTTCTAAGAATTGTTAACAAATCATTTTTTATAAAGAACAAACCAAATTTTTTTTTTTGATGGTAATGGGGTTTGAATTTAGGGCCTTGTGCTTGCTAGGCAAGGGCTCTTCTACTTGAGCCATGCCCCCAACCCTAAAAAGAACTTTTAAAGGAGCCATTTTAACTTTCATTCAATTATGTTAACTGATTTTTTAATATAAATATGTTAAATTGTTTGAGAAACTCAAAAATGATCATGACCCCTATGGAGAAAAAGTGGATGATAAGCTTGTCAACAGTGAAATTTTCCTATATTCTTCCTCTGAAGTTCTATGTGTAAGGA